CTCCTGTCCCAGAGATTGTTTGGAAAAGGTTAGAAGCTCTAAAATGTATTGAGGTCAACTCTTAACAAGCGCAAACTAAAAGAGAATTTGCTTCAGCCCGAGAGGTAGGGCTCGAGTTTCTATTAAGTGGGCTCTGGAGGAGCAGGGGGCACGGGGCGAGCATCAGACCGGAGATCTGGAATCAGGTCCCACCGAGCGCACGTAGCCTCCCTAAGCGACATCTATGGCTTCTTTGAGTTCTGTGCGCGAGTCGGCGCCCGGTTCCCCCCAGCAGTGGATAGTGGGGTTTCCCCTAAAGCCCGGCCGCTGAGTCTACCCAGCTTCCCGCACACCACTCGCTCCTCCACACGGTGCTGTCCCAGAGCCTCCGATGCGCTTTGCCTTCAAAGAGATCCGAGTGTTTAAACCCCCGCCCCTAGAGTCCTCTCTCTCTCTCTCTCTCTCTCTCTCTCTCTCTCTCTCTCTCTCGTTTTAGGGTCTTGTACTTTTCTCCACCGCCAACATGTATACAGTTTCCTGGCACCAACGCCCCGCCACAGACACATCACGCGGGAGGCGAAGGCAGGCCCGCGTGTCAAAGCCAAGGGGATCCAGGTGACGCACCAGCGCCTATATGCCCCTGCCTGACAGCCTCCCCAACCCCCCCGTGAACCTGCCAACAGACTTTCAGGCCAAGATGGAACCTCTGGGTCTCAGGAAGGCGATTTCTCTGTTTATTTCTCGGGAAACTGCGCTGGCTGGGCAGGCAGCACAATCCTTTTACGATTACCGAGAGACCCAAACTGGGCCGGCAGCCTGCAAGCCCTGTCCCGAACCCCAGCCCGGCGACTCTGGCCCATACCCGAGCGCCTTCGGAAGGCGGCTCGCGGGGGTAGGAGCAGGCCCGCCAGGCATCCGCGCCGCTGGCCATAGGGGGAAGCCAGGGGAGGGGGGTGTCAAGCCAAACCTTGACTTGGGCGAATCGACGTTTATGATCTTTAAATGAAGTGTGAGGAAAATTGTGTAAGTATAATTTCACTCAGAGAAATTTCCTGCGAAATACATTTCGATGACTGTAGACTTTTAACAGCCCTAGGGGTTCTCCGGCAAGCCTTAGGTAACCAGCTTGGAGTTACCTCAACTCTGCAGCCACATTCTCAAGTTTGGAAAAGGCTAGTTTGGGGATATATATATATATATAATTTTGTATTGTTGCTTTCTCGTAAATGTTTTCTTTTGTTTTCTAGCAGAGATGAAAAAAGAAAGTTCAGGTAAGTCACTCCTTTTCAAACAACCAAACATTTCAAAGCTTTGGGGAAGACTATTTTGCCATGATGTGTCAGATTACCTTATAAATGTACTTTAAAATACCTACACACAGATTTTTTTCTTAAAGAAATAGATAGTTTGTGTGTGGGCTTAAAGTAAACTTACTAGTTTTGAAAAGTGTCTTCTTTCTTCCTTTCCTCCCTCCCTCCCGCCCTCCCACCTTTCCATTTATAACTGTAAACTTACTGCTACTCCTAGGCCTTTATAAGATTAATTCTGAACAATCAAGGGACTAAAACACTTTTACAGTGTAATTACAGTAGTACAAATTGTTTGCCCAAACCTCATTCTGGATAAGGATTTTACAATTAGCAAACAGTTATTACAGTTAGGGCTTGCTGAGAGAAATTGCGCAGCGGACGTCTAGAGTTGCAATCTAGTAGCCATAAAAAGAAAAGAAAAAAAAACCCCCCGCTGTAGTAGAGCAGCAATTAATCACCTATTAAAAGGAAAAGGTAAAGGGGTGGTTGTAGTAAACTACCATCCACCTTTAAACCTGTGATGAGACAGCATGCATCCTTAGCTTATTTCAAACACTTGTTTTCAGGCAATAGTGCTTTTACCTTGGGAAAACTTGGCCTAGGGAAGGGTTCTGACACTTGCCCCTGATACTTGCACTTGGGCCTTCCATAGTCAGCTTTCCCTTCCTAACCCAGAGGATCTCCCCAAATAGAGAGAAGGAGGACTTTAAAGAGGCAGGCCGGGACCTAAGTCTCTATTGTTTACACCCGCTTGCAAGGAGGCATTTAAAGTAGGTGTTGCCCCTTTAGGCTGTTGGTACAGTCCTAAGTGAGAATTCCCTTCTCATTTTCTGTTCTTCAATAAGGAATTGTGCCTTTGGAAAGATCTATACCCTGAATTAGGCTTTTGTCCCAAAAGTTCACACTCATGAATCAGCTCCAAACCCCACAGAAATTAAAAGAGGCACCTCTTAGGGTAAAATGTGTGTGTATTTGCCAGCCCAGAATAAACAAGAGCCTGTTAATCAATAGAGTTTGGCAGCTGTGTTCACAGAATGATAAGGGTTTATCATCTGGCACCTAACTTTTAGATGCCTGTGAAGCTGTTAGGATTGGTCTTGGTCTTTTGGTTGTCCTGGGGTGCAGTGGCTTGAGGCCCCGTACTTCAAGAACTTTCATCCTCCTCATCACACCCCTGCATTAGCATTTACATTTCAAAAAACAGAACTCAGAGGCGGGAAGGACAGTTTAAAGAAAATAGATTGAAAATCTAGTAGAGATAATAGAGGAATGCTGAAGATAAGAGGCTGGATGTGATAGGAGAAAGGTACCAAAAAGTCAAAGCTAATGAATGGCTGCGAGGAAACTGAAATAAACTATTTAGAGGTCTATAAAATGGAGAAACTTGGTTAGGTGATATGAAAGGGGGTTAACTGAGGGGATTAGGAAAGACGTTAATCAAGTGCCCTAAAGCTGTAGGAACTGGGAGATTTGTTTACTGCATTTTGCTTCAGAAAACAAAGAATGTCTGGGACCAGTTTAGAAGTCAATGAGAGGTCAGCTTAGGCTCTCCAACTGTCCAAAGGAAAATACCTAAGTCACTATATTCTGACTGGATAATGCAAAAGTTAAGAAATGAAAGGTGGTTGGTGATGATGAGGGCGCGGGGGTGGTGGTGGGGGGGGTGTTTTCCTTACTATCTTTCTATTTCAAATCATTAAAACGCTTTGGTCTCTAGAGGGGGAAAAATTACACTGGTTAACATAATTACTAGCTCTGACATTTTCAGAAGTTATAGAGGTCTTTTATTAATTAAATGGAGGGCTTAATAAAATATTCCTAATAAAATTTATGGTTGTCTTAAAACTTTCTAAACAGTGCTATAAATTCTTTATAAAATTAACTGGG